TAATCTCCTTTTTCACAACTTCCATCATTGGAGGGTTGAGTCGGCGTTGAGCCTCTCGAGTTGGTTTAGCCCCATCATCTAGAAGTATGCGATGCATTCAAGTTGTAGGGCTAATTCCCTTAATGTCGGCCAATGTCCATCCAATTGCGCCAAAGCATCAAATACATCAATGGAGAAACAAGAATGATCATCTTTAGGATACCTAATCATTTCAGAAATATTAAAATCAATAATATCGCCATCAAATTCCATTGTTAATGTCTTTTTGAACACATCTTTGGTGCAGGCTGTTTTCATGAAGGGTCTTCCAAGTAGGATCAGTAAGGGTGTAGAATGGGCCGAATCCTCTATCTCAAGCACATAGAAATCCATTAGAAATACTAAGTCGTTAACCTGCACCAAAACATCTCCCAAAACCCCTTTTGGATATGCATTAGAACGATCGGCTAATTGAATTATAACACCATCGTTTTTAAGCTCTCCTAAGTTCATAGATCCATAAATAGAGTATGGCATGACATTGATAGAAGCACCTAAATCTAACATGGCATGTTCAAACTTGGTATTTCCAATAACACAAGGGATTGTAAAACTACCTGGATCTTGCAAAACAGTGGAAACATTTTCATTTACTTGAACCACTTCTTTGTTCGAAATCCTCCTCATGTTGAGCAAAGCTCTTTTAAAAACTTAGCATACCTTGGAACTTGCTTAATTGCATCAAGGAGTAGGATATTGACTTGTACCTTCCTGAAAGTCTCTAAGATGTATTTCTCATTCTCTTCCTTCTTAGATTGCATGAACCTGTGAGGGAAAGGCACATTTGGTGGAATTAGGTTAGAATTGTTTGAATTTGGAACAACCTTACCTGAAAGTGATGGTTTAGGAGCTTTGGGAGGCTACGGCAAGGTTGGTTCCACCCTTGCCGTGGCTTTGTCCAACTTTTCTTCTTCTTGCAGCAACTTCTCTTCCTCTTCTTGACTTGTTGTGGACATGTTTGGCTTGGTTCCAATCTCTCTACCACTTCTCAAAGTGATGGCCTTGGCAGTTTCAAAACCTCATTTTGGATTAACAATGGTTGAGCTAGGTAGTTTACCTTCTTCTCGAAATTGCCCCATAAACTCCGCCATCTGCTCAATTTGCTTCTTCACTTCACTCATCTCATTGGCTTGATTTTGTTGGCCCTGCGTCCATGAAGTTAGTAATTGAAGAAGTTTATCATTATCTAATGACAAACCTGAGTTTGTTTGGGCAGATTGTGGATGAGGTTGAATTGGTGCGAATGGTATTTGATAGAGCCCGGGAGGTGGCTGTCTATATCCTCCTTGTTGTTGAGGTTGTTGAGGCTCCCTCCACTTGAAGTTTGAGTGATCTCTCCAGCCAGAATTATAGGTTTTAGAGTATGGATCATTCTGTAGCTAATTTTGGCCTTGGTAGCCCACGACATTTGCACTTTCCCATCCTCTATTCTCTATCAATTGAGGGCATTGATCATTGAGATGCCCCTGCATAGAGCACAATCCACATATGGCCGCACCTTGCACTTTGGTTCCATCAACAACCTGTGACACAAGAATAGTGAGATTAGCCAATTGGGATTGAATTTAAGAAATTGTACTTACCTCATTCACTTGTTGCTGATGTCGTATGGGGTCTCTTCCTCCAACTCCTTCATATTGTTGTGCATTCAAGGCCCGATTTGCAATTAAGATCTTTGTAGCAACTAGAGTCTTATCAACCAAAGCACCTCCCGCTGAAGCATCAAGCATTTGTCTCTCAATTGGAAGAAGACCTTCGTAGAAATATTGAATTAGAAGCTCCTCCTTCATCTGATGTTGTGGGCATGATGTAACTAATGTTTTGAAACGCTCATAATATGCTGGAAATGATTCTCCTTGGTTTTGTTAAATGCCAATAATCTTCTTCCTCAAAAGAATGACTCTTGAAGTTGGGAAGAATTTATCTAAGAACGTTATTTTCATGCTTTCCCATGAAGTGATGGTTCCAGGTTCTAATTTGTAGAGCCAATCTTTAGCCTTGTCCAAAAGAGAGAATGGAAATACTTTTATCTTTAATATACTCCCATCAACGTTGATGGGTGTCATGCTTGAGCACACCACTTTAAACTCCTTCAAATGCTTGTTTAGATCTTCCATGGACAGCCCATAGTATTTGGGAATATGATACAGCAAGCTTGACTTCAACTCGAACTCATCGGTCTTGCCTTGGGCTGCTAGAGGGTATTGAATGCATAAGGGCATTGTCCAATCCCGAGGCAGAGAGTTCCTTGATTGTTCGATTATCCACAACCATGGCTAGTTCTTCCTCTTCTTCTTCTTCAACTACAGATTCAGAGCTAGAACTAGGTGGATTAGGTTCTGGCTGCTTCCTCTTTCTTCTTAAAGTTCTTTCAAAATCGTCGTCAAACTCCAAGATATTTGCACTAATAGGTTGAGAACTTCGAGTCATAAACTAGTACCTAAAACAAAGAAAACAAACCAAAACAAAATCAAAAAACAAAACAAAACAGAAATAAAACAAGAATGAAACTCACGACACTAACTAGGGGAAGATTAGCAATTTTACTAATCCCCAGCAACGGCGCCAAAATTTTGATGTGAAATATTCCAACACTTAAATTAAAACCCTATGATTGTAGTATATGTAAGTAGGGATCGTTTTAGGCCGGGGATTAGAAAGGATGATAATCTACTCAATTTAAACTTTAAAACACTAAACTAGACTAAAAAACAGAAAACTAGACTCTTATGACTCAAAACTAACCAAATTGACTCAAAACAGCAAAACTATGTTAAAAAGACTCAAAACAACTACTAAAGAGTGATTTGGATGAATTATAAACTAACTTGACTCAAAATACCTAATGGGGACATATTTGAATGAAATTAACTAAACTAAGACACCAAATAAGAACTAAGGGGGCTTTTGGACGAATTTGACAAAACTAAGTAAATGGCAGTAAACAAATTAAGTTAAAACGAAATTAAGGTGAATTCAATGGTGAAAAGCTAGTTAGAGGGTCCTTCTCCACACATGAAACATATGCACATAAATTGATTTCCAGTATTGTTTCTTCAAACCATGAATGACAATGCCCCAAATTAATTGTGAATGCACTAATTAACTTTCAGATTTTCCTAAGTTCATTGAATTGAATGGACAACGCATCGCAACCAAATTATTCTTATCAAGTTCCCTATATGAACAGCATGATAGAGATACATATCAAAGATCATTACGTTCTATGAAAATCATAAGCATTGACATGGCATTCGTAACTATGAACTGCATGATACTCCTGCCAAGAATCTACTTAACACAATTATGACTAGCAACCTTCACTACTTGTAAATATAAGTTTGTAACTATTAAGTGAAACTCCCTTATATTTTAGCATCAGATTCATGCATGCAAACTAAGTATGCATCCTTAATCAACACACAAGAATAAGTTCTCAATCAAACAGATAAATAAATCACATTCATATTTTACGAAACAAAAACTGAAAGTAATCAATTCATATTAAACATATGTCCATGGCTTTGAATTCACCTCTAACTAAAAAGGAATTAGTTCCACATGTTCATAACAATTGAAAAGCAATAGAAAATAAACATGAAAACAAAACGAGAGAAGAAAGAACTCTTAGAACTCTAATGGTTGCAGGTGGCTTATGCACAAGGTCCTCCTTCTCCAATGGAAGCCACAGCAAAGGCTTCTTCTTCAAAGTTGTGGCAGAGGGGTGTTAATTGGTGTTTTTGCGACTGAAAGGGGGTGTAGAATTATATGGGGGGTGGTGATCGAAATTATGGCTGAAAACATATATTTATAGGCTAGGGTTTGGTCGAATTTCTGGAGGAAAAGGCTTAGGGTTTGCGGCACAAGCTTGACCCAATCCAAGTGGGAAAATAACTAGGGTTTCTGGAAGATTTTAGGGTTTCTAGAAGGGAAGGGGTGCGGCACTCTTTTAGGCTTCTAGAAAGAAAAAGTTTTGTGCAGAAATTGGGACTTTTAGAAGAGTTTCGGCGCCACCTTTCTAGGGCTTCTAGAAAGGTTGGTGCGTCACATGTATAAGAGAAGGGATAGGCCTTCTAGAAGGGATTTAGGTCCCCTTGTAGCTGATTACTCATCTTCTAAGTCTTGAATTAATTTCACCATCTCTTTAGCCCATTCCTTGCTTCATTTGATCTTCAAAAATGTCCATTCCTTGTGCTCCACATGCATGCAATCCAATCCAGCCCAAAATTGCTCTAAAATGCTTCAAAATGCACTTTCTTGCCAACTTTGCCAATTGGACCTACAAACACACGAAAATAGCTTAAAGTACTAAAGTAAACACAAACTAACTATGAAAATGCAAGAAAACAAGCTAACTAAGTCGCATAAATATGCTCCTATAAAAGAATCGTGAATATTATTTGGTTATGGTTTTGGATATGGTTATAGGGGTTCCCAATCCGTCTCTGTCCCCAAATCCGAACCGAATATATATATATATATGAAAATACAAAAATTGCATTGTGTGTGTTGCACTTTGTGGGAAAGTTTAAAATAATTTTATATGAATCAAAATGTATGATAATTCAATGGTACTTATAGGAGATAATCAAAGATTAGCCAACATATCAATGTTTAGCTTTAATTTTTATGCTCCTCAAGATCCATTCACTAAATCATTTTATCAACTATATAATGATGAAATTAATATTCCCTAAATTATCATGTGTCAACTGAACGAATATATTTTTTGTATTGACGAAGATGGATATAACCATTAACCGATGGGGAATCCGTTACCCGGTGTGTATGGTTATGGATAATACCCGATTGTTAATTTGTGGTTATGGATATGGTTAATTTTCGTGGTTATGGAGATGGATATAACATTTCCGTCCCTAAACCGAACCGTTGCCATCCCTACTGCTGGGTACGGGGAAACGTTCTTTCCCGTCTGTGATTACAGAGGCCAACATAGATACTGACATCAACACGCTGAGCATATTTTCATCACAACCAGTATTGTAATGCATTGTTTTCAGACATAATAGTGGAATTGCTTGCTCAGCAAGCTAACATCTACATATCTGAGAAACCGTACAATTTCATTTGCTCATGCTTGAAGTATTGAACTTTGGTTTATAAGAATTCAGCCAAAACTTTCTATTTTGAATTACCTTTTACAAAACTGCGGCAAATCCCAGGAGCTTAAAAATGTAAAATCGGTCGAGCTTCCTCTTGTACAACATTCGGGTGGTCAAAATCCATGACTTCGTGATGCCAACATATCGTCATCCAGCCAGCTTAACCCGAAAAACCACAGGGTAGTTGATGGTACCGTTACAGTGCATTTCTGAAGCGCAAGAGATGACAATCAACAGTAAGACACAGCCATCAGCTAGAGCATGATCTTGATTTCCTATTTTTCTGCCTGCATGTGATTTTGCAATTGAAAATTCAAGCAAACGAAGATGGATTTGGTTGATTTGGGAAAAATGGAGGATCGAATATTAATTACAAACCAGAATGAATCCTTCTTTTCTTGTGCTAGTAACTCTTCAAATGATATTTCAGTAAATTCCACATCTGTGCTCTCCATTTGTTCTCTGGATTTGGCTTTCAAGTCGATGTGGGTACTAATTTCAAACATCTGTGATTATATGAAAAAGCTATTCATCAGTTTATCTTATGAGATGAGGGCAAGCAAGAAAGACACTTCACTTACAGAACGAAAAACAGGACAATAGTCTTCAAGAGACCAAGGTCAGTTTTGCTCATATATGAAGCCAAACTTCTTTAGAACCAACTTTCAAGGGATCTTAGGTGAACGAGGAAAATTACACCAGCGCCATCTATTTTAACCGGCCATCTCAATAGGTATATCTAAGGCCTCTTATCGTTTATCGTTCTGTGAAATAAGGATTTTATATATATACCTTCTTGTATGCTGGTGAAAGCTTAAGCTGTTGTTGGAGCCAATTGTAGACAGATGCATCCTCTTCCAGTCTCTTCTGTTCTAACTCTAGCTTGCACATCTGTAACATCAATGAATAAATCCGCTTGAAAGATGACCCAAGTACTTGATAACATTTCTACCTACCAGATTCCAAAACTTTTTTCGAATTTAACCAGCCAACCTGTTGATGAAGGCGGTCAAAAGAAGATCTGTCTGCCTTGAATAAGAGAGCTTTTGTTATTGTGAATTTACGTTGAATGACATCAGCTCTGTCACAAAAAAGAACAAACATAAGGGCGGACAAGCATGGTAAAATTTCTATAAAAGACTCCGAAAAATAATCACGTGAAAGGGGTCCCTTGGAAACAATTCGAGAACATACTTGTGCTGTAGCTCATTTCTAGCGTCCACCAAGCAATTAGCAAACTGTCCAACCTGCATATAACACAAGGAAAAGGATTAATTTAACTATCCCTCTATCATTAAACTATAAACAGATTATGCTTGGCAAGTCATGCTAAACCCTGAGGGAATGAGAAGAACAAGAATGGAATATCTATTATATGGTTCAAGGTGTCTGCCGATGTTTCTTTATCCACTTTCTCAATTTACCATATTCTGAATATACAGAATCACGACGAGGCTTCTGAAAAAATTATAGCAAAAAATGAGCAGAAAAAAATCATAATATTGCTTGTATTCTCCATGCTGTGTACTCTAAATAATAAACATAGGGTGACGAATGATGATTTTGGCACTCCATAAACACCGTTAGATGACCATCTGCACTCCTCATGTGTGAGAGTGTAGAGCAGTTTGAATCAAGTTATCTGATTTATCTATAAGAATAAATCAAGAATAAAAAGCGCAGAAATAATCAGAAAGAACAACGATGCGGAGATATCGATTAGACATTTTACTCCAGAAGAAATTCCATCAAGTCATCGAGTCAAAATTTATCATTCATTATTGTGTGATGACTAATGAGGCGTTTCATAGATTTTACAAAGTTAAATAAACCGAGCTAAGTGCTTTTTGGTTACCACTAAACCTTATTCCGCTTATAAACTTAGACTTGGGGTTGCTTGTTTCCAAGAGCAACCCAATGATAATCTCAAAAGCCAAATTGCAGTGGGAGGGAGGAGGAATCAAGCAAATGGCCAACATTTTACCTCATTCTCCACCTGCTCAAGACTCCATAACTTTCAAATAACTACTGTAAATCCTCTTATTTTCAACTAGGGACACCAGACATGTCATTTGGCTTAACCATCTAACCGACAAAGTTAACCCTATACTTGCGCACCAATGGTGTAACCAAATCTTCCGAGTCTAGCATATACACCATAATCCGATTACTCCTACCAATGCAGCACAAACACTCCATCCTGTGTATTTCCCAATTGCAAATTTATCTTAAACACCATTAAAGGCAAAGGCCGGTATCGCTTTCTCAATAGAACAAGTCATAAATCAATTTAGTGATGCTTTTGACTACTGGACTCTCGCGGAATGGAATGATTTGAATATCAATTTATTAGTAAAAAGCTACATTTGAATTGCCAAAACAAGAACTTCATGTGTAGTTTTGGTTTGTACATTGATAATGATACTATGAGCACTTTAGGGCACCCGCAAGATATGTTTTCAGATATCGCTATACAATTACAACTAATCTCAAACAAAATTACACGAGCAATAAAACCATAACTCAAAGAAAATATATTCCAAAAATAAATTATGAAACTTTTGGGAGTAAAATTTAAGAGCCTGACCTGAGCGAGTGTCAATTTCTCGGACTCATGGCACTTCATGAGCTCATCGTATTGCTGCTTGATCTTCCTCTGAGTAGCACTACTCGATGATGTAAACGGGTAAAAACATACCAATTCCTCCTTCACCCGAGAGCCCAAACCCGGACTCGAATTCCCCTGACCGCACAAATCTTCACTCCCATCTTCTTCTTCCTCTTCCAAATTCGAGAACTTCTTCTTCTTGGCCCTCCTCTTCTTCTTCTTAGCTCCCTTATGCCCCTCCGACCCGACTTTATCCCCGTCCAAACCCAACCCGGCGTTATCCGGGCCGCCACCCTCATTGTTCACGAACAAGCTCGCCCATTTGGAAGAATCAGAGGGCAGGATCTCCACGAGGATTTTGTGGGGCGGATTGTCGAAATGGGTCGGGTTATTTTCACGGGCCGGATGGGCCTTGCCCAGAGTTTGGGACAATGAACGTTTGAGCTCGAAAAGGTCGTCGTAGGTCTGCTGCTTGTGCTCTGTTTTCTGCAACTTTTTGAAAACAGAGAAGGAGAAGAGGAAGAGAGAGAAGGTGACGAGGAACACGAAGGTGCACAGAGATAACATGGGTGTTTGCGTATGGAACTGGGACTGACACTGTATTGGGATTGGAAATTTGGAAGCCAGATTGGATAGATACGAATGTGAAGCCGCCATTAAAACGCGTCGGCCACAGAAAACAGAGGAAAAAATAATGTGGGCTTTATGTATGCATATGTGTATCTGCATGTATAAATGTTGGTTTTGTATTGGATTGAAGTGGTGGGATGGTTAAGAGCAATTTCACCTAAAAAGACTTTGCGCCAGCATCCAACGTATTTATCCACTTAAGGAAACAGTAATAGACCCTAATGAACAGTAATAGGTTAAAGCATTTGCACCTCTAAAAAAATAGCCTAGTCAATTTTATTAAAATATTATTATTTTTTATTATAAAATAATAATAATTTTATTTTTAATTTCTAACTTTAACATAAACAAAACAAAAACCTATTTGTCAAAATCTTCCATCCTTATCCCACCAGAAAACCAAATTGCAATGTCGGTGGCATGTGGTATGCAATGCGTAGTTGTGTTAGTTGTGTTGGATTGTATGCGCTCGGTGGCGGCGCTGCACCTACATCAGCGCCAACGACAGCGCAACCTGGACATCCGCCACTCCCGACGAGTTCAACCTAATTCCTGTGTTTGCTGCTTAGTCCTCGCAGTCCACAATCCCCACTTCATCCCCACCTGCAGATTCCACCCCAACCCCGACTGGGTCATCAAGCGCGTCACCTACGACGTCAGCATGACGTCAGATATGTCGTCCTATGGGTCTGTCGATTCTAGGTCGGCCTGTGGCCTGGCTTGGGCTGTGTGCCAGCCTATTTGCTCAGCTGGAGTGGATTGACTAGGTGTTGGGCCAAAAATTTGATTGGGTGCCAGCCTAAAGGTTTTCCGGTGGAACTGCTCTAAATTGAAGCATACTTTTACACTAAAAAATCCATTTTGATACTATTTATTTTAGCCTTTATTTTGTACTTATCGTAAAAACTTAAAGTTTTCAAGCTATTTTCAAAATGAGGAAACTGAGAGAGAGAGAGAGAAGAGAGAAAAAGAGGTGGTTTTCTCTCAGTAGGTTGCTTTCCACTGAGTCTCTTCTCTCGTATTCCTTTTGTGTGATCGTGTGATGTCGTTTTATGTCACTTAACAAACTCTCTCACACCTGTATGTCGTTCTATGTACACACTAGGCTAGTGATTTTTTATTCTAGGCACTCCAAATTATACATATACTAAAATTGGATTCCCCTTCACTGTTTGTGAACAGTGAAACGACGGTAATGCCCTCCAACATTGGTCTTTATCATCTGCTTTTGCCACTTTTTCTACAGTGAGGTGTCGAATTTGCTCTTGCTATCCAGGTGTCCATGATCGGTGTGGCCTTTCTTTTGGTCTGATCATCCTTTTTTGAACCCTGCTACGGAGAAGGTTATGCACGAGTCCGTCATCGAGGAAAGAGAAGAGGATGCAAAAACTCTAATTGCTTCCAGAAAGCACGATCTGCATCTCTCATTCAACTTTCTCTCTAAAAAAAAACCCAAAAATGGCTTTGGAGCACTGAAGACGAATTGAAGTACGAGTCCCCCGATTTCAAGAAGCCTGAGTCTGATTTATGAATCGCAAGCAGGTGACATTTGGGTTTTTTTTAATTAATTTGTTAATTTAATTTTTGTGTTTCAAGTTTGTGTTTTTAATATTCATGCTTAAAGGCTAAATCTTTGCATGAGACTTTAAGGACATCCTCAAATCATCTGGTATTGTCTTCTTTGCGTGTCTCTCCCTTTCTTCGACAGCAATGCTTCTGATTTTCTTGGTAATTATCGAATCGCTTTTATGTTTTCTTGGTATTTAGGATCTAAGATTTTTGGTTTATGAAGAGCAGCTGCAGGCGAAGTATGAGGTACCTTTTTATTTTTTCTGTATTTTTTTGTTTAATTTCTATTTCATGCGTGGTGGATTTCTCTTTGGTAATTATTGAAGGTGTGTGATATCCACGCATCTCATTTTACTTCTCACACATTTTTTTTAATTTTCAGCCGTCGGATCGGCTAAATTGAAGAATATCAGCGGACAAAAATTATTAAGGATGTGTGAAAAGTAGAATGAGGTGTGTGGATAGCACACCCCATTATTGAATTACTTCTACATTTGCTTGTTATTTAGGATCTCTTTTTTTTTTTTTTGGATTTTCAAGAGCAGGGGCAGGAGGTACTTTCCTTTTTTGTTTGTTTTTTTTTAATGTTCTAATTTTTATGCAATATATGAAAAGATTGTATGAATCTCATGTATGATTATTACCAAATGTCTATATCTTTTGTTGAATAATATTGGTGATTAGGGTTTCATGCCTTTTACCATCACAGCTGCTGAAGAACTTGGACTCCCTATCGCAGTATTGTTTACTAGACCTTGAAATGTTTGTATTTTTATCCAGTTTTGTGTTCAACCAACTATTTGGTGAATTTGTATTCCTACTAAAGATATGTGTGTTGGGTATGAAATAAATATACAAGTTTTCGCATAAGTAAAATACATTTTGCTTCCCTTTCACAGAAATGAACGACCATGACTTTGCCTTCCCTCTCGCAGCTTTGTGCGCTGGCTTCCTCCATTGACCTCTATACCGACATCTCTCTTTGTTCGAATGTTAGATGAGGAGTACATCACTGACGGCATGTTGCAATTAAGGTATATCATTGAAAAGTTTTTGCAACAATTTGGAAATTTAGCAAAGAAAAATGATTGCACTCCTCTTTTGTTTTGTTGTACTGATCCAATTTTTTCTAGGCTTTTAATTGAATAAATAGACCGAGAATCAAGGAATGGAAATATAAGAAGTGGATAATTACTTCAAAGAAATGCAATCACGATTGAAAATAAATCCCATGAAAGCATCGGTTTAGTTGTTCAGAACACCAAACAGAACCTTCTATTATCATTTTCTGTATTTTTTTCTCTTAGAAAACATAAAAAATCTCTCTTCAAATGTACATAAAAACTAAAAACTTCATATTTGAGACGGCTCTAATCTCTCAAATTAGTTTTATAAAAACATTAGTACTGATGCATCGGTCTAACAAATTTGGTTCACAGGATATGATGATACTATGAATCACAGATATGATGAGATCAAAAGGTGATGATTTTTACACTCCCGTCGTCTATTTTATTCAATCACTTGATTCTCCTCTAATTTATTCAATCCAAAAGGCTAATTTAGTTAAGATATTGTATTAATGTATGGTTTTATTCTATTCTCTTAATTGAAGGGAATTTTTATGATCAAAGAAAGTTTTTTGGTCTATCTTATTTTCCTTTTATTCAATTTTCTTTTCTATGAATAATATTAGTAAGACCACTTTGGTAAGCGAAATTCGATATATATAGGCATGGTTGCTTACAAGACAAAAGATTTGTTCGTTGCTTTATGATTTCTAGGCTTTTAGATTGGAAATGTTAGCCTCTATACCTTGGTATATGATTGAGTACAAGATTGGGATATGGCATTTATAAAATATGGGGTTATAATAATTAACTTTTTCTTCGTTCTTTATCGCAGCACTATGGATTCGAATTGGATTGGGTGCTTGGTGTTGTACTCTCCATGGATATTTTGGAGGCGTTGTGTGATTTACAGCGTCTAGGCCGGCCTGGCTCACGGAGATCTCCGTTGATGGTAAACTATTAATCCCTGAGATTTCTGTTTCTTTTTGTTCATTTCACATGTGTGGCTGTTTATTGAAATTTAATCTGCCAAGAACCGGCAATGGTCTCGGTTTTTAGGTTAAAATTGAATCATCAGTGATTTTGAAAATATGGTATTTCTGCTGAAACCTATAACAATGGACGCATAGGTTATACATGCGGATTTTCACATTATAGTAGTTCTTTATTGATTTATGGAAAACTTATTTGTTACAGAGGAGCTTATTTGTTGGAGATTTGAGGAGGAAAACTTAGCACCGTGGCACCACTAGAAGTGGTAATTGCTAATCAGGTTTTCACTCTTTTTTCCACATACTTTGGTTCAAAGCAATATCATTTGAATGATGAAATTTTGTGGTTGCACATAGAAATGTCAAGTTAGTTGGATGCTAGCAAGTGGTTTCCGTTTCCATCCTTTTGCGGCTGTCAATTTTAGTTTACCTATTGCATCATGCCTTCCAAACTTTTTATTCCTTGATTTTCATATCACACGGTAGTCATTGAATTCAAAACCTCAGCCTCTGCCCCCTATGCTTACAAGACTAAGGGGTGCCTGGGAAAATAAATCTAATTTATTTCAAATTTTGAATCATAAACCAAGAAGAAAACTGACCTGAAACACCAAGATCATAGCCAAAGAGAAAGCCTCATAAAGCTGCGATGCAAGCAAAGATGAAATACCCAGTAATCCTATACTTATACTGATGACCCTTTTAGATACTACTCCATCACCTCCAAATCCTCATGTGTCAGTTTAAGATGATCAGGGCATAATCAGGATAGTCTCTCGCACCACTTACATTTACTTCGCCCGCTGATATATTTTTTTGCATCCAATTTTCCATTATCTAATCTTTAACTTACTTATGTTATAATTATTTCAATTAATTCTTTTACATATATACTCTTTGTAGGGAATTGTTGCTACACTTATTGTACTTCAAAGAGCAGTAAACCGGATCATAAAACAATTTGCAGGTGTAGTATTATTCAAAAGAGTAACGTCACATATAAAGATTTATAAAATTCGTTTTGATTATGCCTTTCATCGTCATCAGGGAAGTATTGCGAGTCTTTATTTGTACTTTAAAAAGAATGCCAGAAAATTGTCTAGAGGTGTAGTACTATATATCAATACCCTTGATACTCTACATCAGTTATTCTGACATATAATTACAGATCCACAAGTGCAGGCTCCCTGTGCTATTGTTCATTGCCAATTTAGGCAATTTCCTGCAACATTGAGTAAAATAAAATAAAATTTTTGTTAAAGTTCTCTATGATTAAGTGTATGCAATATGTGTTTCATCCTTATATATAATTTTTATTAGTGTCGTATCTTGAAAAGTTAGCATCTCAAGCGAATGGTATTTACCACTTTCCTTTTAAATGAATTTTAAAATCAGCTTCAGTCCATGTTTGTTTAACAATGTGGTATCATTCATT